AGAGCGGGCCCTCGGGGCCTCTGCCAGGGTGTGCATAGCAGTGGGAGACCCTTGGTACTCCCTACCACCTTTTTAAGTACCCCTAGGGGTATGCATACCCCGGTTGACAACCACTGCTCTAGGAATCAAGAGAAGTCTTGTCAATAACTTCCAACAGGCTGCTAACTGGTGGAAGTAATGGGCTCAGAGTACTAAACTGCTTGGCCTCAAACTCTCAGAGCACACTACAGTACATATTCTGAAGGTTCTGGGTAAGGACAGCCACAAGTCACACTGCTATACCTGCTCAAGCAATATCTACTTGGGGCCAAGTAACAATCATAACCTCCTTTGGAGTAATTAGGCAGAATGGGATATACATGTTACAATTCCTGCAAAAAATTCTCTGAAGTAAAGGCTTGTGTGCCCCTTAATAGTTTCAGCAACTGAGGTGCCATCTAATGCTATGAATTAGTAGCCAAAATAATATCATAAAAATTGACTCTCCAACCACCAGTTAAAATCATTACAGCGATAACACTGCATAACCAAGTTGCATTAATAAAGTCTCGACAGGCATAGATCATTGGTTGGGGCAGTATTCCATTCATCATTTTATAGTAAATGTCAAACACAGGAGTTTAATAAATTTATTAGCCATCACCCAACTCCAATAAGTACATGTGAGTGCAAGTGCAGAAGGTCATCAGGAAGATTTCCAATTGTGAGGTGTTTTCTCTCGAACAACAGTGGCTCAAAAAAAATGCTATGCCTGGACTTTATTTATCTTTCAAAGCCTAAACAAATATTCTCAGAGACCCTCTGGTGCTCATTTCCAGCTGTGGAAACGAGTCAAGATCTAACGTCAGAGATGAAGATCCTGATTTTCATTTGCATTACATTTATTTTATACCATTCACAATGTAAAAATGTGTTTCAGTGGGTGGATGCAGATGTAATTCACAACCAGTTAACTGACTCTCACTGCCACTGCTTGGTGCAAAGTGGCCATAGTGTAAATAAAACTTCAGTCTAATGAACAAAATGGCACAGATTCCAGTTTATGGCCCTTTTGGATGATATGATGACTGAAAACAGCTGTAATTCAGCTGCAAGTCAAATCACCAACAGAGAACTCCTTGGGAATAAGGGAATTATAAGAGGGCCCTGTGCCTTTGGGCTCCCTCATCCTTTGTATGTCAGCAGCATGTTGAAGAAAAAAACCCCCATGGAGACAGAGGATTAGCAAAGTGGAATCCCAGAGCATAACCCAGAGCTTCCTGAAAGCAACTCTAAGTGGCATTTCCCTCTCCTCTGCCTTTTCTGTGGAGCTCTCTACAGTGTAGCAGAGAATCATTATCTGAGAGACTGGACAGGAAAGGGCAAAGCCAAGAACTCTGCATATGCAGAAGACTGATACCCATGTATCACTTGCACACAAGCTGTCATCTCCATCTATTTTTACCAATGCAAACTCAAAAGGACATTCTTACCAGGAGAACTTGGAAAATGATTGGGCTTTAACTCTGGGGACTTTCTGGGAAGTGCTATGTCCTGGTCATCTTGCAATGAAATAACTGAAAGGAAAAAAAAAGTTATTGACTTTTAAAATATTAGTAACACTGGAACTGAGCATTTAGTTTTTGTATTGGTAACATTCTAGTCAGTACAGATCTACCACTCCTTTCAAAAACATATTACTGACCACTAATTTAGCTACACAACTCAGTCTATTATTATTAACCAGACCATCAGTCAGCCCAAAGAAGGCCCACAAGGATAAGAAGAAGCCAGACAGAGGTGTATGGCTTACTAAGATAACTACTGGCCTAGATGGGAACAGAGCCCTGACTTCTAGCCTGCTTCGGGGGCAGAAACTTTCCAACTTCCAACAAATATTAAATGCAAGGTGTAGTGGGCCAGCTTCAAAAGGAGTCTGGATAAATGTGACTTGGTGGTTAGAGCACTTTGCCAGGTAGCCAGAGATACAGGTTCAAACCTTTGCTAGGTGAGGGGGGCCTCGAACCTTGGTCACCTGTTCTCTAGGCCAGTACCCTAACAACCTCAATTATTCAGCTAGAAGATGGGAAGACTGTCCTCTTTCCCACTTCCAGCAGGTAGACACACAGGACAAAATAGAATCCATATCTCTGCTTATGTGCCAAGAATTGCAGCTACAAATCTGTGCCTGAGGCTTTTAAATTTATAAATTAAAATAGGATTCAGTCCTTAGTCTGTAATTTGCAGTATGAGGCTTTGACTCTTAGCAGTAAGCCATATTTTCATTAAATGCATTTAAGAGATAAACCAATAATTTTTAAATTACAGTTTCTAACCAAAAACAGGTACATTGCACATCTTTAATAAGTATTTACTAGAATATTTTAAAAGAAAAAATGCAAGCAATTAATTACTATATGATGGGTGAGAGCATCAAGATTTCTGTTATATTCACTGCCACTGAGAAGTTCCAAATGACTAGCAATAGGCTTGATCTGTTTTCATTAAAATTTTTGATATCTAAATGGCTTATTTCAGTTGTCTTACATTTCTCCTCCCAAAATTCCAAACATATATTCTTAAAACAGAAATAAAATTACAAAACAAAGAAACTTACAGCTGTCCTGGCAGGTCCTCTGGCAATCTTCTAAGGACCAAAAGTTGTTCTGATTTCCTAGGCACCCACCATACCAGAATTTTTCACATAGTCTTGAATCTTTGTTATAGAAAAACCTGGGAATATACCCTCGGCAGATTCCAGCATCTTGCTCCAAGAAACAGGACTTGGGTTTTTCTGTTGAAAAGTAATAATTGATGAAGTGGATCAAAACTGTATCAAAACAGAAAGAACTTTAAAAAGAAGTCTGTATCTTCAGGCTAGAGAAGAAAGTCTGACAAAAAAATCACAGTGGCCCAAAATAGGCAAACTGTTTCTGTTGCTTGTTCCTCTCTTGCCATGAAGATGTATGAACGTTATGACTGGAAGCTTGAGAATGAATGGCCTCTTTAATTGTTAGCTTAGAGCAGAAGTTCTTATTAAGAATAGAATTGACTCTTCCTTTAAAATAAAGAATAGTAGCTTCATTGTATTTGTATTAATTACAAATTATTTTTTGATATCTGTGTTACTTCATTTAATGTGGGAGTTACAGACTCAAGGAGGAGTTATAAGAAAGGCAAAACAAAGAGAAAAAAATTCTAAGACTATCTCATCTTGCAAGTTCATTTAGTATACAAGGGGGCAGGAAATCAGAAAGTGGGATACTTATTTTAAGTATCAGTGTTCGGTTTCAGTTCCTAGTGAGTGATATTTGATTGTGAGAGCAAAACAAACCAAGACAAGCTAAGAAATTCACAGCAGGTCAGATCCTATTTCACCTCGCATGCCTAAGCCTAAGTGGTGCATACACAGCACATAACTACAGTTTTTGGCACTTAATACAGCTTGCAAATCAGCACTGACTATAGTATGGCAATGAGCATATTCACTAGGGCTCTGGCCTGGGGAAGCAGAATCACCTAGATACATGCTTGAGGCTGGACAAAAATTTCAAGTAGCTGGGTGAAGGTTAGTAGTACTACTAGGCTAGTATACTCACTTTGGGAGTTGGAGACACAAGCAACTAGGCTCCCTTCAGCCAGAGGGAGACTGAATTTACATCTCCAGCTTTGGAGCAAACCATCAGACTACAGGCCTGACATTGTCCAGAACCCTATCCAATCCTCCTTTAGAAGCTGACCCACTTCCTTCCAAACAAGGAAGATAAGTGAGGTTAGGAGGACATGTACAAACCAGAGGGTGAGATGCTGCCCTAGAAGGAAGAAGACCCTGAGTCCTAACTCAGGCTTCAGGTGTCAACGGCTCAAAAAATTCCCTACTCTTGTTTCCCGAGGTGCTGTGGGCCAGCTTCAAGAGTGACATGGGCAATATATGGCCTGTGGTCTGTTGGTTACAGCTAGCAAATAGGAGATGTAGGTTTAAACCCCTACTGGGCAAGGGAAGTGCATAGAACCTGGCTCTCCTACTCCTTGGGCAAGTGCCCATTCTACTAAGATGTTGGTAGGAGGACTGTCCTCCCCCTCAGGAGATGTAGACACATGGCAATTCTATTTCTCCAAAGGAGGAACTAGAATCCTAAACTCTGTATTTATGCCAAAAACTTACATGCTGTTAAAGTGGCATGTATGTAGGCCGCTTAGGCATTAGCAAAATAAGATCTGGCCCATAGTGTAGTTTGATATAGAGACCTAAAAACACATCGTGGACAACAGAAATGAAAGTCATGGCAAAACTGTAGATTTTCAGATCACTTAGCTTTCTTTAAATAAAGAAACAAAATTACAGCAGTACATACTTGTGTACTTTGTGTTCTCAGGTACATGTGCATTTTGGCAGCTCTTCTGAATTGTGAATTATCTACCTCATTAATTAGTCAATCATATAAAACCTTGTGTTTGAATGAGAACAATGAGATTGGATCCATCTGATCTACTGAGAACTGAAGAGACAGACAGTCACTCAGATAAATCACGATGTATTTTTTTTCTACAACAACAGAAGCCTCAGAGAAGGTTCTTCAAACAAATGGTACAGAATATTACAAAGCAGTCTTTGCATCAAGGAAGACAGGTGAACTATATGGGGCAGATTGTGGAATTACGTATATAACTTAAAACAGCTGCGATGCATATTAGAAAAACACTTGAAATTTTATATTAAAATGTGCTCTTGTGATGAAATGAAACCTATTATATAGAGTCTGGCTCACAGCTTTTTTCTTTTTATAGCTGGCTTTCATAAGCTTTTAAAGACTAGGGTTATGAAGGATAGGGTCACAGTACCTTAACTATAATGGTATGTACACATACTAGCATTATACACTTAAGGAGCCATTGTTCTTTCCTGAGATCCAATGTCCAAGAATGTGTTACCAGAGATACAGTAAACATGTAAAGCTGTTGATTATTAGCTGCAAAAGCTGAGTTTTTCAGGTTATTTTCTATTCTGCTCTGGAAACTGAAGATTAGATCTTAAAGAAAATATTGCAAAATTTCTGTAGGATTTGCAGAAAATCAACTTGACTTTTTCCACAGTACAAACCCACGACATTTTAATTCACTATTTCATATTCTTATTTTTAGATATTTTAAAAGAAAGAAATAAAAGTCACAAGACTGGCTTAAACATTACCACACTATCAATTAGAAAAAATATGATATCAGAGCGGATAAGTACAAAATAATATCCTGCCTGTATATGAGCACTCTAAAATATCTTCCCATTTTCATCCCAAATTGTGTGTTCAGGTGGAGGGAAAAGGAGTAAAAGTGTACAGGCAAAAGGAGTAGGTCTTACTAGTGAAGTAAAATACTGACTTTTATGATGTTTAGGAAAATTTTGGCTATTATAACTGTCCCCAAAAGCCTTTCAGTGCACTAAAACACTGGGTATTAATTAGGTAGGAAGAAAAAACCTGTCCCTCTATATAGTGCAAAAATGTTATGGTCTTCCCCACCTGTCTAGTATGATGGTTCTTCAGATTGTATTAGATATTTCTCTGTAACAAATTAATGGGTATATTCAGTGCAAGAGTAATGTTGTAGCCATGCTGGCCCAGAAATTATGGGAAAGGCAAGGATTTCTTAGGATGATATCTTTTATTGGACTGACTGTGTAGTTGGTATAGAGTTAGACAAACTTTTGAAATCTTGTCTAACTCTGTCCAAACCACAAAGTCATAGATTTCATAGACATTACGGCTGGAAGGGACCATCATCAGTTCCATCCCCTTGCCCAAGGGGCAGGAAGTCAGCTAGGCTCAAAGGATCCCAGCAAGATAAGCATGCAAATGTTTCTTAAAAGAATCCAGAGTAGGTGCTTGTACCGCCTCTGGGGGAAGCCTATTCTAGGCCTTGGAGGCTCGGACAGTAAAGAAGTTTTTCCTTATGTCCAGCCTAACATGGTCTTGAAGGAGTCTGTGACCATTGGACCTCATCATCCCTTGGGGTGCTCTGGTAAACAGGTGTTCCTCCACATCCTGATGTGCACCCCTTAAGTACTTATAGGTTGCCACCAAGTCACATCTGAGCCTTTGCTTCTCTAGGCTGATGAATCCCATGGCTCTCAGCCTCTCCTTGTAGGGCCACTTCTCTTGCCCTCTGATCATGCACATGGCTCTCCTCTGGACTCTCTCAAGCTTCTCCATGCCCTTTTAGAATTGTGGAGCCCATAATTGGATGCAATACTCTGGCTACGGCTTCACCAAGGCTGAGTACAATGGAAGGATGACATCCTGGGACTTGCTCGAGAAGCATCAATGGTTCTATTCACTTTACCGGCTATGGTATCACATTGGAGGCTCATGTTCATCTTGAGGTCAGTCATGTCCCTAAAGTCTCTTTCAGCCATAGTGCTAGTGAGTGTAGCACTGTCAAGCCTATACGTGTGATGTGTGTTTTTTTTCCCTTCTGAGGTGGAGCACCTTGCATTTCTCCATATTGAATGCCATCAGGTTTTTGTATGCCCACCTTGCAAGTCTACCAAGGTTGGCCTGGATAACCAGCCTATCCTCAAGTGTGGACGCTGTTCCCCAAAGTTTGGTGTCATCAACTTAGCCAGTCCACTTCTGACACCAGATTCCAGATAATTTACAAAGATGTTAAAGAGTACAGGTGTGAGAACAGAGCCTTGGGGGACACCACTGGTCACTGAATGCCATGTTGATTCAGTTCTGTCAACTACCACCCTCTGGGTCTGACCTTGGAGCCAGTTCCCCAGCCATCAGACAGGAGTGTAGCTGAGGCTGCAGTTGGCCAATTTTTCCATGAGGACAACATGGGACACCAGATCAAAGGCTTTTTTAAAGTCCAGATATATGATATCAACCTCTTCCCCTTTGTCCAGGTGATATGTCACCTTAGAAGGTTGCCTCCAGCTAGCCTATTGAGAGTGGTTTCTTTGATAATTTTTTCCAAGATTTTTCCAGGGATTGAGGTCAAACTGATTGGCCTGTAATTCTCCAGGTCCTCCTTCCTCCCTTTCTTGAAGATAGGCACCACATTAGCCATCTTCCGCTCTTCAGGTACCTTGCCCAAGTGCCCCAAGTTGTCGAATGCCCTTGCCAGTGGCCGCATTATGATACCTGCCAGTTCGTCAAGCACTCTTGGGTGCAATCTGTCTGGACCAAATGATTTGTGGGTGTCCAGCCTCTCAAGGTGTTCCTTCACTAGGCTGATGCCAGTGATGGGTATATATTCACCCTGCCCTGGCCATCCCACATCATGTTAGGCAGGGCGGTCCCCATGGGCTGATGAAAAACCAATGCAAAGCATTCATTCCAAGTCAGTCCAATAAAATATATTACTCTAAAAAATCCTTGCCTCTGGGTATATTCAGGCTCACAATGAAGGAGAGTTGCAGTTCTGGACCACTGACGGAAAAAAGCATGCTTGATTTTAGGATTTTGAGCTGTAAGATGCTAGACAGCTTGATGAAACTGTATCATTAAGCCACTAGTTCCTAACATTTATTATGTCTTAGCTGAAAGTTCAATACTCTGAACCCTTAGACACAAAATCTTCTATAATCCTGGCTACATAAGCATTAATCGCTATCACAAGATAAAAAAAACAACTATTGTTGTCTCACATTCCAACATCCTAGCAGCAGAAGTATTTGTGTGATACTGAAAGCATGTTAAAATTACATTAGTACACTGGTCAGATACATTATCTCAGACTCCCTTCTGAGTCTGATACCCTTGCAATTCTTGAAGAAGCAGAATAAACAGTTGTTAATACATTTATTTTATAAGTGAGAAAATTGCCAAAATGACTACTGGGTTTGGCAACGATGCTTGTATTAGATCCTTTGAAAGAGTAACAGTGAAAGAAGTCTAGTGACTACTTACACTCCTTCAGCCTGAGGTTATTGCTCAGACCAGGAGAGATTCTGGAGCATTACAAATGACCTACCAAAAAGTGTGATTCCCTTTGTCTCAGACTTGTTCTCAAATATGAAAATTACCTGTCTTAAATTTTCCTTTCTTTGTCTTCATTGGGTGATCTACAATAAATACAAAGCAGAAAAAAAGTTTACAAAAGCTGACTATCAAACGGATCATATTAATTGTAAGGCTCTGACATGATTAAAGTGCTGCCCTGGGGGCAAAGTGAGAGTAGAACAAACAATCTTCCATCTTCTCTTTATTATGGAAATTTGCTAACACTAGCTATGTCCACACATGGTGTGGATGTTTGGTTCCCCAGGAACAAACAACTACTTGTCCCCAGGGAATGCCTGTGCCATGTGCCGTCTGGTGCACAGCAAGTTACCATGGGTAGTAGGGGAGGCTGGGGCGAGCACTGGGCTGGCCCCAGCAGCCTTACCTGGGGCCCTCCTGGGACTGCAGCACCGGTGATTCTGCTGCACAGAACCTGGCTGGCAGCTGCATCATAGCTCCGGGAGGCCCAGCTCTGCTTTTGAATGATGTTGGTCAGGCTGCAGTTGGAGTACTGCATCCAGTTCTGGGCGCCGCACTTCAGGAGGGATGTGGACAACATTGAGAGGGTCCAGAGGAGGGCCACTCTCATGATCAGGGCAGCAGGGCAGGCCCTATGAGGAGAGGCTACGAGACCTGAACCTGTTCAGCCTCCACAAGAGAAGGCTGAGGGGGGATCTGGTGGCTGTCTATAAATTGGTCAAGGTGGACCAGCAGGCATTGGGAGAGTCCCTGGTCCCCCGAGCACTACTAGGAGTAACAAGGAATAAAGGCCATAAGTTGACAGAGAGTAGATTCAGGCTAGATATCAGGAGGCACTACTTCACAGTCAGGGCGGCTAGGATCTGGAATCAACTTCCAAGGGAAGTGGTGCTCACTCCTACCCTGGGGGTCTTCAAAGGGAGGCTAGATGAACATCCTTTCCTGCCCATGGCAAGGGGTTGGACTTGATGATCTGCTCAGGTCCCTTCTGATCCTACCAACTATGAAACTATGCTGCCCATGTGTGTGCTGCTTTGCTTTTTCTTTCCAATTTTTTTTGGAGATTTTTTTCTCCAGGGGTCAAAAACCCTCCTTTGTGCTGCTCCCTTGCAGTGCAGAAAACAACTGAACATGTGGTATGTGGCACCACAGATGTGTCTGCAGCACCATATACTGCACAGCCATGCTTATCTGGATGAGGCTACTGGTTCAGCTTCACTGATGTGGGAAGACCTGTGATAGTTGAGTCACTGTGACATTTAAGTACCAGAGATAATAAAATTCTGACTCAGTTGATGTCAAGGATGAAAGTGATCATGGAACCAGGATTCTGTCAAGTCATTTGACTTTGCCCAGTACAGGTTTTATAAACAGGATGCTGAAATGTCATTGACATCAGTGATCATATTGCAAGCTACAAACATTGTTGCCAGAAGTGGAGCTCAGCCAGATTTAAAAAATCAAGGCTTTAGAGTTCTCACATGTGCTCTTCTCTTCACGCACCCAACTCTACCATGCTGTATACTGCCATAATATGTTTTGGCAAGATCATAAATTGTGGCTGTTGGCAAAGAAATTTAGAAGTCTATCACTTCTAAAATATGATTTCCTGTATTCTGCTTCTAATTCTAACACATTTGTAACAATCAGCAAAAGCTGCAGGCTGAAAGTTTTTAGTGCCACAAAACAATATACTTGGAGATATTTTGTATAAGGGCTGAACAGGCCCTATTGCTACGGTAATTTTATGATGATGTTCTGGGACATAAGGAAGGTGGTGATTTTCATTTGTTACATTACCCATGTAATTTACATGCTTCAGAACCTCATGCCAAACAAAGTGAAAATAAATAAATATAAAGGAAAGCATGTGTATTTCCAAGAAAGTTCAGAGGTGAGACACTAGAAAAATCTTAGCTTTTGACTCTACATAAGCCTTCCAACAACATCTTTTGAAACTCACCTAGGAGCATAAGCTATAACAAAATTCGTTAGGCATTTCAGAGCTGAAGTATTAAATTACCTTTGAAAATAAAATTTTGGTTACACTTACAAGTAAATTTACTATGCCCAGCAGTGGTGCCCCTCTAGGACATTGCACTGGTCCATGCAGAATGCCTCCTACTCTGGAAGCAGTATAGCCAAGTATGGGCAGTACTCCAGTACTAAGTAGCACTGCTGAGAAACAGTACAATTATTTCATCTTCATGCCAATTTCTCTGCCTGCTGTGCTTGAATGCCCCAGTGCTGGGCATGATAAGTTTGCTATATGGCAATGATCTTAGCTTATTAATGTAGATAGGTGTCACAATGCTGAACAGAATAACAACTAAATCCTACTTAAAGTACCTTTAAAATTATGAGCTGGAGTCACTTTGAAAAGGCTTAAGTTTCTTGTCTAACTGAGGAGACTGAGGGCCAGAATTTTACGGGCATCTAGGTACATAACTCCCATTAATTTTAGTGGAAGTTTGGTGGTAATTTTTCAGAAATTTAGCCCTCAGTCCATTTTAAGGGCATTTAAACATTGCTAGGTGGGAAGTGGTTGTTTCCTTGGCCAGAAAACACAGCAGGAAAACCACTGTTATAAAACCTTTATGCAACTGTGTTATAACATTAGAACATTTCTGCTTCAAGATCTGAAACACATGAATCTTCTTTCTAGCCAGGGACACTTTTCAACACAGTTTTCCAGAAATGGTATAGTTTTGAGTCATTGTGCAAGTCAGAATTAGGCCTGTAAGAACCAGGAAAAGTACTCATAAACACATTCAGTAAATCAGAATAATGATTTGATTGGATTGAACTAAAATGATCTAATCCAGGAACATTAATGCAAACATCTTTTGCATGTCAACAGAGGATTTAATTTGTAGTCATGCACAAACAGGCATTGCCTCAGGATGATCCCCTAGTTCATATGATTAAGTATAAAAAATTGTACTGTGTGACTTGGTGATAAGTGTAGGAAGTAATACATACACACTCATTTATACAAACTGCTTTTCAGGCAATTAGGGATAATAAATAAAATGTTGACTGGTTCACACAGAGAGTATGAATTGTCTATGGCTTATTAGCAGCTGGCAGAAGTAAGGTTTTATCACCTAGGTGGACCAGCCCCACTGAAAGGGGGCAACACAAACTGAGAAATCACTTGTCTAAATGTTTCTTTGACCTGTCTTTCACCCTTACTTATCTATGCCTGAAATTCCTTTCTTGACTCTACCTACAAGTCTTCTCCTTTAAACTCTTTCTTATAAGATGTCCTTTAAATACTGTTTATAACTAACACTATTATAACTGTTATAATATTATATATTATAAATAATACATAATTGTATTATGCCATATACTTATTATTAATAGTATAAATTAGTCCCCTGTGGTTCAGTGTAGAATACTTTCCTGCCACACAAGAGACCCGTGTTCAACTCCTGGATGCTTATACAAATGTAGTCATGGAGGCACCAAATGTCAGTGGCTTAAATGGGGGATGGAAGGTCTGGGCAGTCTCCACTCCTCCAAAAATCCTGCCTAGGAATATGCATCAAATGTCTGGGTGACCTCGCATGCATGCACCATGATCCAGAAGGATTGACAGATGCCAGACAAGCAATATTAATTAATATATATTAATAATATATAATTAATAGGTATCTGATCAACATAACCAATTCATTTTAATGAAGTAAAATAATTTTGCAGATACTCTGTGTCAGACATGCATTGTAGCTTCTCAAGTGTCCATCTAGTCCTTTCATACTCAACTTCTACCTATTCCCTGGTCTCCTGACTTGTAATCTTCTTCAGTTCCTAACAGATATCCCAAAGTCTCTTTGTGGAGGTAGACTGCATCAGTGGGGATTGACTGCATCAATCCACAGTACAGTGGTAGCTACTACACAAGATGCTATGTCGCCATTGTAATGTACTCCGTTGCTATAGAGTATTGCTACAGTGATGCAGCTGCTAAAAATAAAAGTGCGCCACCGGCATGGCCCAGTACAGGCTGCTACTGCACCATCATTTAGTACTTCCAAAGAGAAGTACTAAATGCTGGCACAGTAACAACAGCACCTTAGAGGCACATGTAGGCAAGCCCAGTGAGGAAAGGAATAGTTTTTATTTGATCTGTGACATGCCAGACACATCTTTGATACCAGATAAGTAATGATTCATCTTTGACTGTATGCTGAAATTCAGTTTCTACTGGGAAAGTCTCTGCTCTCCCAGGGGAAACCGTGAGTGTATAGATCTTTAGGATTTTTTTCCCAAAGCAAAAATGAGTGCTCTAGAAGAAAAAAATAACTTGGGAACAACCAGGATTAATCACTCCTGGGAAAGTCTGCCCTGGGGGAAAGCATGTACAACTTACCCTTCTGAACAAAACCACAACGCCCAGCATCCCAGGCTCCTTCACAATGTTATAGACCTTTTTTGGAGTCTGTTGTCTGTACAATACAACTGTCATAATCAGAAGTAGACTACTACAAACTGTAACTGCTACAGTCTTAACTTTGTTCTTTGTTTTATCTTTGATAAGTTGTCTAAACTTAAAAATATTCTGATTGGGAATATGACTATACAGAAAAGCACACCAGTAATATTGAAAAAAAAGCTTAATTGAAAACTCAAGTAATAATTTAATAAGAAAAATGCCCTCTCTAAAAGATTTTTAATCATCCTCTTTAAACTGAGTAGTTAGTTATAACCTTCCCATAACATTTTATATGATGATTCAAAGATTTTTGTCAAAGATACAATTTCATATCAGGGATTTATGAGTACACATGTATGCATACATGTGTGTGTGTGTGCACGCATGCGTGCACACAGGTCTCAAACTCTCTTTTTTGAATTTCACAATTTCTTTTAAGTTCCTTTGTGATTTCTCATTAATTCAGAAACCAGTTGATTTATAGACTAAGAAAAACTGGTAAAATTACACATTTTAGTAATTAAATAATGCTGTGAAATATTTCAGCTAAGGTGCTAGAATCAACAATGAGATTCATCTTGATTAAATTATACTTGCGAAACTAGATTAAATTAATCAGAGACCCCATGTTTATGGCTGATT